AGGAGAGATGAAACGTTTCACTAAAGAAGAACCCATCCAGAGGACCTACTTATTTTTTCTTTTTGAATTTCTTTAAAAGTTCAGTTTTATTTTAAGAAAACTTTCTATTCCTTTATTGATGTGCAAAAGACTAAAATAATTATGTTGACACCATCTTTGATACATATTTGATTTTAATGATAAAAAATAATTAAGTGTGTTTTTAAAAGCTGTGCTTGGACTTTGCATAAAGAAAATATCTCTGTTGTCACAGAATTCCTTTTTAGGTTTTAATTCAAATCATAACATTGTAAGAAAATTAGTTTTCTTTTACTGAAATCATGTCTTAATCATGCAAAAACCACATGAATGTTGAATTGATTAAAATGTGAAAGAGAATAGACCATACAACCACTCCAGTACTGGTWCTGAAAGGTGATTTCATGCTTCAAGCCTGAGCATCAGCAGTGTTCAGCACGTTTTATCATTTTGTCTTCRGAAAATTATAAAATGCTGTTGTGCTTTTAGAATCAGTAAGTAAATGACCAATACATTTCTTCAACAATATTGATACATTTTGGTATGATTTAACGTTTTCATTTCCATGACAAAAATAATATTTGTTTTTTAAAATCTACACATTTACTTCTGTATGTGGTTTAATTTTCTGGGCCCTTTAATTTTAGCTGGACATTACAGAAACCCCCTCTCCATAGCTGATTTTTCCAGTGGTCTGAAGGAGACGATTATGGAGGCAAAACCTCGAAAACGACCCAGCTGCACAGAACTGGAGTTAAACACCTTCCTGCAAATTCCCTCGTTCACACACCAGGACGTAAACCCAACAGATGTTTGGGAGAGTCTGGATGATATTAGTCTGGACCATTTCCTTCTGAAGGTAAAAACTTTATTTACTGCGGTTGGAAAAACATTTGAGATTAGAGTGTTTGGTGGAGGGAAATGAAAATTCTTAACATTACGGTATTTCTATGTTGTTGCTCGAGCTAACTATAACTTTTAAACCTGTTTGAGTAAATGTGCAACCAGGTGCAATGTTCTTCTTTTATTTAAAGAGTTTTGCTTGTTACAGTAAGCAAATGTAGAAACATTTTTAAAAGAGTCAATGTCTAACGTACTCAACTTCAAGTTCATTGATTTATACTAAAAAAATTATACTTTGTCTTTAATTTCACAAGAGGTTAACTGTTTTTTGCACCATTTTATATGAAAATAAAGCTCTTTCAATCAACGAGATAACCAAACAGACAGCTACAGTTTTTGGAGATGGCATCTTCCGCCTTCATGCCTTTTCACTCTCACCATCTTGTGTGTGGAGCTGGAATCTGCTGGGTGAGAAGATCCACGCTCAGGTGTCTGCAGCACCCACCAACAACATCCAACTCTTAGAAACAACAGTCCAAGTCTGTGTTGTTGTGGCAGAGCAGGAGAAAGAGAAGGTGGAGGAGGAGGAAGTAACATCTAAGAATGATCTAAGGTCCACTGAGCTGCTGCTGAACGAGTCGGGAAAGGAGCTACGAGAACGAGAGAAGCAGGAAGAGTCCTGTCAACAAAAAAAGCCCTGAGGGGTAACCTGTGGGGGTTTTGTGATCTTGCAGCCTTGATGAAATGCCAGAAGAACCAGAAGAAAAGGACAAAGACAAAAGGCTTCGCAGAAGAATCATTAACTGGCTGGTTGATAAAATCCATGAAGATCTCCAAAACCCACTGGAGAGAGCAACAGCAAGGGGACGAGGTTTGCAGATGAAAGAAAATCAACAATGTTTAAACACCTAAATATTAATTATGGCATGTTTGTTAGCAAAATATCTCATGAACCAACAAAAAAGATTTTAATGAAACTTTCAGAAATCACTGGATGTACAGCTAAACAAGTGAAGGACTTTGGAGTTGAATCAAGATGGCCAAAGTCAATTAACAAAACATGACTAACCCAGTTTATTTTTCAGCTACTAAGCTAACATTTAGTTTGATAGTAGCTGAAACACAAACTGACTTTGCAGGATTAAGTTAGCAAATTATCTCATGGATGACTGAATGAATTTTTTTGAAACTCCAAAATTAATCACACACTGAACATCTGCATTTGACTTCTTTTTGAAGTCAAGATGTCTGCCACATGCTGTTGAAGCTTTGTAGGTGGAATTCTTTCCCATTCTTGCTTGATGCACAACTTCAGTTGCTCAACAGTCCAGGGTCTTCATTGTTGTATTTTGTGCTTCATAATGCGCCACACATTTCCAACTGGAGGACACAACGTTCATGATTTCCAAACACCATTTGAAAAAGTGGACTCGTCAGACACTTTTCCATTTTGCGTCAGTCCATCACAGATGAGTTTGGGCCCAGAGAAGCCGGCAGTGTTTCTGGGTGTTATCTGGCTTTGTCTTTGCATGGTAGAGTTTTAACTTCCACTTGTAGATGTAGAGACAAACTGTTACAGAATGATGTTGGTTTTTTATGCCTGAGGGGTTAAATGYTACGGGCATTCAATGCTGGTTTTCGGCCTTGCCGCTTACTTGCAGAAATTTGTCCAAATTCTCTGAATCTCGATGATATTGTGGACTGTAGATGATGAAATCCCTAAATTCCGTGCAATTGTGAAACGTTGTTCTTAAATTGTCGGACTATTTGCTCACACAGTTGTTCACAAAGTGGCGAACCTCACCCTATCCTTGCTAGTGAATGACTGAGCCTTTCGTGCTCCCTTTATACCAAATCATGAAACTCCTCTATTTGCAATTTACCTGTTTACCTGTGGGATGCACCAAACAGGTGTATTTTGAGCATTCCTCAACTTTCCCAGTCTTTGGTTGCCTCTGTCCCAGCTTTTATGGAAGGTGTTGCAGGCATTAAATTCAAAATAAGTGAATATTTGAAAAAAAAGGTTGTAAGTTTGAACATTAAATATCTTGTTTTTGTAGTGCTGCTTTGCGCTGCAGGTGCTGTCATTCTCAYGGCCAACAGTCTGCCTGAACCCCCTCAAGTGTGTGATTACAGAATTTTTGTGAAAATTACAGATTTTTGTAGCTAACCTTTTGTGGACCTGAGAGCGGACATCGCCAGGCCTCTGACTGAGCTGCTGCAGTCGTCCCCAGACCCCTAGGCCGGGTCCTTCGAAGAATGCAGGCCCTGAGGTTGGACGCAGCCTTCATGAGGCATTTCAGGGACTTTTCTAACATTAATAATTGGTCAGAATCAAGTACTTTCTTCCAAGAAGACAAAAATCCCCATGTTGTGATGTTTAAACTGTATAAGAAGTGTAAAGTCTGTGTAAATTTTGGAAAGTTTAAATAGTTCAAAAGTTAACATCATCACACTAAGTTGAACATTCTACTGTTAAATCTTCAAAATAATACAACTTAAACAGGGAATGTGTCAAAACTAGTGCTGGGCACGTTAACACGTTATTATCACGCAACAACTGGCTACAGCCTGGATCTCCATGCCACAGATCGAGTGCCTTCCCCCGGTCAAAGGACAGCGAGCTGGGCCAATCGCTTGAGATCTGCATCCCGAGGGAGGAGCCAAACCAACTGCACCTGAATGCATCAGGCATACAAATGATTAATGAAAGCCTTCCAACCTACTATGAGGTATAGAAGGGACAGTCTGCACACAGTGTATGGGACTGATAACCTCTAATAACGACCATTTAATGCACTGACAACATTCAATTGGAAGCAGGTGCATGGGGAAATGACTTCAGTCAGAACTAACCAATAGAGCARGGGTGTCAAACTCATTTTCACCAAGGGCCATTTGGTTGTGGACTTTATGGTGGCCCTCGAAGGGCCAGTTGTAGTTAAATTTGACGTTATATGTTTAACTTTGACTAAACAATGTTTTAACACATACTCTTTTAAAMACTGGCCAGAACTAAGTGTACGACTGACTAAATTTGAAATAAATAATACAGAAATTCTATTAAAAGTAAAACTAATAGAGTTTTACTCACTGATGAGTTTTTAGTSAGTAACTGCCATCTTGAATTCTGAATTCTCCCACTTTCTGACATCCCATGGATAATCAACATGCATTATGGGAGATGTAGTTTATGGTCAATGCTGACTTTAAAGCAGCTCATTTTGAGTCATTAATACTGTGCTATCCAACTAAATTGGCCAGTTACTTAAAGCCAACAGCTCAGGGGCAGGATAATTATTATCTTTCACCTTTGAAATGTGTCTATTTTGTTGCATTTAATCATAAAGTTAAAGTTTACCATTGAGATAAGAAGCAATTTTCATATTGAGTAAAAAAATAAATAAATTGAGTTTGACACATGTGCAATAGTAGCCTGGCCCTTCCCTTCCTACGCAGCTCCGCTCAATTCTAGTTTCCCTTCACTGCTACGTCTGGGATTTCTCTCCCATTGAGATGGATTTCGCTGGCAGATTTTTAGCCGGGCCAATCAGAGAACAGAACGTCAATTTTCTGCGCAGAGTCTGCTTGTAGTTTATTTTACCTGGGCCAATCAGCAAACAGAAGGCAGAGTTTTGAATGACGTCGATGTTCTGTGCAGTGTCTGCTAGTTAGTTTAGCGTACGGCAGTGGAGGAAGTGAATGAAGCCAGTCTGTGTTGATAAGGCTTCCAAATTAAAATAAATTTATCTGACAAAGCAGCAGCTCTCATTTACAGTCGTCTCATTCGGCTCGATATATTTCTCCTCTCAGTAGGGTTGTTTACAGCACACGCGATTTCCGGTTAGCTTCTTAGCTTAGCCTCCATCACAGCGACATATGTCGTGGCCAACTGATCCAATCATTTTAAACTTCAGCAGAGGCCACGCCTCCTTCAAGAATCACTTCACTATGCATCACGTCCAGACCCTTGTATGAAGCAAAGTGAAGGACGAGGGTCTGGTTTTAACCAGGCTAGTGCAATAGAGACACRTCTTATATAGCTCCTCCTTAAGCCCCTCCCTGGATGTTCATGTTCTCTGAATTAAAAAAAAACAAACTTTTTTTTGAGTTCAACCAAAAACTTAAGAGCATCAACCAAAAGTCTGAGATACAACCAAAGATTTCTGACATGCGAAAGAAAAGATTCTGTTTTGCAAAAAAGTTCTTGATTAAATAATTTTTTATGAAATAGCTTTTTTCTTTGGTTGAAATTTAATTTTTTTGGTAGAAAAACCTTTTTTTAATTAAAAAATATTTTTTGATTGAAACTGCTTTTTCATTTGATTGAACAATAAAAACACAAAATAACCTCCATGCATACCCAGCTCCAGTGCTCATCCTACAAATGCATGTTCCTTACAAATGTGACGCCCTTTAAAAAAACAGGTTTTCTTACAGTATAAGATTTACAGCCAAGAAGCATTGTTACAACAAAGAAATAATCTACCAAACACTAAATTCCTTACTTTTTGTGCTAAGTTTTTACTGTAAAAAAAAGTACTGAATCAAAAATCATGACCAAAATGAAAGAACAATAACCAAACAGAAAAGTGGGCTGTTCAAGGCAAGGTTCAATCTTTGGTACCTTTAATTAAATGAGTCAGACCAGACTGTAAGCAGTAATGAGTTGGAGGTCTGTCCTTCACACAGAACACAAGTTAAAGCCTTTTGATCATATTTGTTTGCTTGTTTTGGGGCGTTAAAAAAGTTTAACAGAGACTAAGAGGAGATAAGAAAATATTTTTTTCTCACATGGAAAGAATGGAGATTTCTTTCAGAGTCACAAGGAGTACGTTGCCTTGCCGGTCCTTCAGTGGTTCGTAGTAAACCTGCCCCAGGTCCATCGTTCCTAGAGAAGACTGACAGCAGATAAAAAAAGAACAGGTGTAACAATAAGAAAAGAAAGAGACAACAAATGAGGAATTGTTGTGAAACAGGTTCTATATGTGCTGGTGGGCTAACTGAGGAAGTAGGGAAATCAGAAATGTAAAGAGGTAATCAAAACAGCAATTAACCCATATGTATGTTTCTTACTTAGAGGATAAGCTGCTTATTGTCCTACCTGCAGCTGGGAAACAGCTCTCAAGATGTTGTGCCTGTTCTGGAGGAGGGAGGAGGGTGAGGAGTGAGCTGAGGAGAGGGCCTGCTGGAGCCAGGGCACCTGCTGCCATGCACAGGACAACTGAAAGAGAAGGAGTTAACAATGTTAGTAGAACTACAACCCAGTTCTGAAAAACTTACGATGAGGTGTAAAATGTAAATAAAACAGAATGCATTTGTAAAGGAGATGTTCAGATTGGAAGCTCGAATCATGAGCAGAAAAGTTCTCAGCTGAGTGTTAAAATCAGCTCATTACAGCGAACCTGTGGTTCAATATTTTTTAAAATAACAAAGTTTCTGTTTTGTGTCATCTTTAATATTCCCTCAGTAATAAATCTGTTTGTTGATTAATCCTGCAGTCGCCCACTGCTGCAAGTCTGCCTGCCGGGCTCGGTCCCGGCTCGGATACTACCTCTGCTGGTGGCTCAGGGGCGCATCAGAGACAGGCTCATTTTACTCGCCCATCCACCTTYGTGCTTTTTCTGAATGCTCAGAGGAGGACAGAACATGTGTCAGTCCCGGACTGAGCTGTCTTATGAAGGAGGCTTAAGTTGTTGCCAGGTTACACACATGGAAAGGAGATCAATGCAGAAAAGTTTATACAGGTTTTAAAACTCCCATTCAGATGTCTTTTTCCAGGGAAGGCCTTGCATATTACAGCCAGATGAGGCTAAATCACATCACTCATTTCTGCATTCACACAGATAAAGTGTCTATAATCAGCTTACCTTGGCAAACCAAAGAAAGTCCTGGGTGATGGAGGTGCAGCAGCACTGGATCTCCACCAGTGGGATCTGATCTTCAGCTGTCACCAGGATGTTTTCCTTGTGGTARAATATGGTCGCCAAGTACACACCCCTGATGAAATCAAAATAAAACACATCAAATGGTCTCATCAGATGAGAATATCCATTTTCAAAAAGACAGCACAACATAAAATATCATCCTGTTCGAACCCTAATTTAATTAGTACCTATCTGTAAGCATGGTTTTGTTAAAAGTTTGTCACTTGCATCGACTGTGATTTAAAACATCAACTTGTCCAAAACTAATTTTGAGGCTCCAGCAGCTCTGAAGTGACTCATGTTCTCTTTTTAACAACATGAGTTTGGACTTGCACCATGCAAGTTGCATCACATTTTACAAATTTCCCTTGATCCCTTCAAGGCATGGTGGGAATGGTAAGACAGATGAGTGCTACCTTTGTAGAAGGCGAACAAACTTGGTGGCGGACTGGAAGAGGTGTTTGATGCCCCGGGACATAGAAAGACGCTTGCCGGGACTCTGTGTCTTGAAAGTCTCTGTGGAAATGAAGAAAGGAGGATCATTCCAGATGAAAATCCTTTTATCTGCCAAAACATATTGGCTGGGAAGGCAACACGCGTTTGAGTGAGTGACAGGGGTGTTGTGTGCAGCTGAGTAAAGTCAGAACATGATTATGAATATCCAACGTTACTTTATTATACAAATCCTAACAGATGTGTTTTTTTATATATTTGCATGTACTGTCTGCAAACATTAGATTGCTCTAAGAAAAATGTTAGCAACTGTGTATTTACAAGAACAGAATCTCGGGTCTCTTTATTAATCTCATTATTAATGCATTATAAGCTAAACACCAACACAATTAGAAGTAATAAATTAATAATCGTTGAAGTTGACTGATAAGGTTTATTCAATAGTGAATTCCAGCCACATGTTTTAGAAATCAGGGAAGTCAGTGGCAGATTTATGAGTGATTTGTTTATTTTTAAACCATAAATATAACAAGTTAATTCTAATACACATTATAATCTAGTAGATTTTGAATAAAGAAATGGCAGAGGATTCCTTAAATTAGTATAGCTTGCCATATTCAATGCCAGCAAATAAAACTAAGACCATCTTTTGTTAAGAAGAATTAGAGACATATAAAACTCATGAACTCATGAGACTGTATGTGTTAGAATTCAGAGTTGTATGTTGTGACTCTTAGATAATACCACACTAAGTTTTAGCTCAGTCTCTATAAAACTGATTACTTTATAACCATTTCTGTGTTGACAAATCTCAACTATCTGTGTTGGCCATCATGAAATGGTGTGACTTGAGAATTTGTAGACATATATTAATTATATTCTGAGAGTTTTATTATAATCTGTCCAGTGCTTCACAAGATATTTTGCTAACAGACAAAAAAGGGTCGACTCCAACAGTTTATTGCAAAGCTTTAAAAACAGATTGTGTGCTCACTGACTGCGCTCAGATTTCATGTTGGGAATGACTATGAGCCACTACCACACCCAATTTCAGTTCAATATCTGTGAAACTGGCCGAGTTATAGTCATTAATGTTTGCTAAAGACTTCTTGACTTTGGCAGCCATCTTGAATGGAGTTGACTCCAGAATTTAATTAGTTGTTGATGGACATTTATTGATTAGTTTTAATTCAAATGCATTCAACGGTTCATCAGCTATTTTGCTATTATCACCTTGGTTGACAGGCAACAACAAACACATACTGTAAGTTGTACATTTATTTTGATTTATTTATCTGGCCGGTTGCTCCGGTACAGCATGTCTGCATGGAATGAGTGCAACGTGATGGACCAAGAACTAACCAAATTATTGATCAAGTAACTTTATTAGTGATATGGCCCGGAAACAATGTTAGTGTCAAGTCACTGTGGAGTCATCCAGGACATGGAAAACATACATGTCAACCCCTTCAGACGTTTACCTGTCTAATGTGCCTCAAAAATCTGTATTAATCACACACGGGGCAGCAAAATCAGAAGGTAATGTGAACGGAAGAACTTTTTTCTAGCAACAGAGTGGGTTGAAAATGGATATTTGATGTTTATTGTCTTGTTTTACTGTCCTAGAGGTTCTGACATGTTAAAAAAATAATTTGAAACTGAGTTTTGAAAAAAATCTGTAAAACATGAAAAAATCCGTTGAGATTGCTCTATATGTCCGTATACCTGCAAAATGACGGAAAATCCGTGTATATTATGGACAATCCGTCCAACTTTGATATGAATGGGGAAATTAAAAGAAAAAAAAGACAAAGCAACTGAACTTCTGTTCTGTAGCTGAAGATGTGTGGAGCTACAAGATTTAAACTACACAAGGTTGGTATCAATAGTCCAAATACTAGGATTTATTCGCTCATCCCCATGTCACTAAAGTAAAAATCAGATTAAAGAGTAACTTCCCCCAAAATTAACTTTTTTTAGCTGATAAACTGTCTAGAATGTGTCTAAAATGTTATATAGTACTGTTTCTGTGCTAATT